CTGATCAGGGGGTTGGACTAGATGACTTCCAAGGTCCCTTCCAACTTTACTACTACTACTACTACTATTATTATTATTATTATTATTATTATATCATTCAGTTGTGTCCTAATATAGGTACTAATAAGAAATCCTTATAATATCAACTAGTCAATCGATAATCATCTCAGTGATCCTCCTTATCTCTAACCAATCGTACAAATTTTTCCAAATTTCATAATTCAGTTTTATTTTTCATCTCTAGAGTTAACCTGTCCATTTCGGCACAGGATAAAATTTTATTTATTATTTCTTCCTCAGTGGGGGTTTCCTTTCCTTTCCATTTTTGGGCATATGCCAATCTTGCTACGGTTAAAATATGCAATATTAAGTAGAAAGATGCTTTGCTAAGTTTATCATTAATAATCCCTAATAAGAAGGTTTCTGATTTTAAATCAATTTTTTGTAATAGTATTTCTTCTAGCCAATTTTTTATCCTATTCCAAAAATTTTGCGTCTTTGAACATTCCCACCACATGTGATAGTAAGTCCCTGGAAGCCTTCTACATTTCCAGCATGTTGGTGAGGTTTTTTTTATCTATTTTTGCTAGCCTTGTAGGGGGAAGGTGCCATCTATAAAATATCTTGCATAGTATACACTTTTATCTACATCTCTTTATACATTTTAGTAATTACATGTTCATCATCAGTGCACACATGTACTTTAAATTCTGTCTTACTTTGCTCTGCACCATAAATCTTTTGGTCCATTTTAATCTTTCTGATAAATGTAATTGGGAAAGCCATTGACAATTATATTCTTCCCCTATTAATTGCTCTCTTGATTTAGTTTTAAATTCCCCTTGATGGCTTTCCAATAATTTCTGATATGTCAACCATTTGTCCTCGTCTGCTGTTTCTCTTCTATAAGATGCTTCTTGAGCTATATTCCATATTCCCAATATGGCATGTCAAATAAAATGATTTTAAAATCCAAATTAATTTTATTGTACCATAAATATCCATGGCATCTAACTCCAGAAGTTCCTTGTTTCTCAGCAACATCCATTATTTCATCCCTATCAAATAACAAGCAGCAAAATGCAATTTCAAAGATGGTAAATCCAATTCTCCTCTTTCTTTTCTTTGTTATAACACTTAATATTTGACTCATGATTCCCCCCCCCCTTGCTATATGAATATAGATGTACAACTTTGCCATTGTTTAAATGGTAAACAGATTTCAAAACAGATATTATCTGTAACAGAAGCATCATTCTTGGCCAAACATTCCTTTTTATCATAAGCATATTGTGCCAGTGCCGGCATCACTGCGGGCCGCAGCGCAAGCCTCACACGGGGTGGAGGCGTGATCCTTGCGCATATAGCATTGCTGTGAGCCTGGCGGCGGCACCACAATCCTCACACAGGCACCAGCATCACTGAGAGCCTCGGGCGCATGCTCGTGGTCTGTTTGTGTGTATGCACATGTGGCTACATTCACATTTCTGCATGCATGCGCAAGGCGCCTACCCCTCCCTCTCTCACCAGGCTGCCAACCCAGAAAGGTTGGAGACCCCTGTTCTAAAATCTGTACTAGCATTTCATCCTCCTTGGCCATTCTGTGGCTGACCTCAAATTAGAAAAACGTGACTTTAACTGTGCCATAAAGCAAAGCATCGTTGAAGCCATAGACATAAAATTTTCAGGCAACTCAAAGCGTCTCGGCTAACACAATCGGTTTTCAACACACTATACTTGTTAATTCAGGGATCCCCAACCCCCGGTCCGTGGACTGGTACTGGGCCGTGGCATGCCAGCAACCGGTCCGCAGAAACAAGCAAAGTCCCATCTGTGGGATGCAGGCAGCCCACAAAACCACGTACCTTCTGGTCTGTGGAAAAAACTCTCTCCACAAAACCGGTCCTTGGTGCCCAAAAGGTTGGGGACCTCTGTGTTAATTGAGGAAGATGACTCTGTCTCACATTTAACCTGCATCTGCATAACCACGATGTAAAAAAGATGTTGAGACTCTAGAAAGAGTACAGAGAAGAGCAACAAAGATGATTAGAGGTCTGGAGGCTAAAAACATATAAGGAACAGTTGCTGGAATTGGGTATGTCTAGTTTAACGAAGAGAAGGATGAGGGGGGACATGATAGCAGTGTTCCAGTATCTCAGGGGCTGCCCCAAAGAAGAGGGAGTCAAGCTATTCTCCAAAGCTCCTGAAGGCAGGACAAGAAGCAATGGATGGAAACTAATCAAGGAGAGAAGCAACCTAGAACTAAGGAGAAACTTCCTGACAGTTAGAACAATTAACCAGTGGAACAACCTGCCTCCAGAAGCGGTGAATGCTCCAACACTGGAAGTTTTTAAGAAGAAACTGGACAGCCATTTGTCTGAAATGGTATAGGGTTACCTGCCTGAACAGGGGGTTGGAGTTGATGACCTCCGAGGTCCCTTCCAACGTTGTTGTTGTTGTTGTTGTTGTTGTTATTATTATTATTGTTATTATTGTTATTATTATTATTACCACCACCACCACCAATCTGTGTTCCCTTTCCTCATTCCCCATTTAAATACTTCATCTGTCCAGCCACTTTACGCAGCTGATGAGGTGAGCTCAAACTCATGAAGGCAGAAAAGGTGTCGTTCGATTCTTCCTGTGTTGTTTTCTCAGGCTGATCAAAGTTTTTCAAAGCTTGTTTCAGGCTTCATAGTAAAAACCAGTAACTGGATCGATTTGGGATTGACCCTAACTTTTTCTATGAGTATCTTCAACGAGGTGCATCTAGATTCCAGTGTTAGCTCGACCAGTAAAATTTACTGAGTCTCAGATTTGCCTGCTCTCAGAGTTGCCAAAGGGATTATTGAGAGCACACTTTAAAAACCACAAGCGCTTTATGCATGTTGTCACTGTAGGTTTTTACTTATTTTCATCTGGATACTGCAGATTCTGCATAAAGCTGAAAGTGGTGAGTTGGCACAAAGCTAAATTTGAATTAAAAAATAAGCTATGTTTTTTTCTTATTACATAATAACAAGTTCAGGGTTAACTGCTGCAGAAGGCAATAGCTGTTTCCATAACTGAGCTGGACTATTTTTGTAGGTAGGTCATTTGCTTTTGGAGTAGAAAGCGTCACATTTAGATTAGTGACTACAGAACAAAATGACCAGCATATATACTAAATCTGAAACTAAAACAGACGTCAAACCTTTACCAAAAGTCAAACTTTTACACTGGGTTGTGAAGGCACAATAACTATACAGGATTAGGCAACCTTGGCTCTTTTATGACTCGTGGACTTCAACTCCCAGAATTCCTGAGCCAGCCCTGCTGAGGGGAAAGGGAGAGGTTTCCAAGCTGAGCCATGCTGGCTCAGGAATTCTGGGAGTTGAAGTCCATGAGTCATAAAAGAGCCAAGGTTGCCTACTCCTGAACTATACTGAAGAAGAACACTATAGAACAGTGTTCTCAACCTTTTTAATGCCGCGACCCCCAACCGGTTGTAAGTCGAGGACTACTCAACTGGTGCAGCACCATTTGCAGAATGGGACTTTTGGCGGGCTCAGCAGGGCAGAGACAGCCTGGACAATTCCTATTGGCTTTTGAAAACCAATAGAATTAGACTCTATTCAAGAGAGTCTATTCTATTGGCTTTCAAAGGCCAATAGAATAAAAGGGAGTAGCACAGCTAAGGAAAAGGGGGAAAAAATGGCGGACTGCGTTGTTTGGTGACCCCCGTGAAATGGTTGTTCGACCCCAAATGGGGTCCCGACCCACAGGTTGAGAACCACTGCTATAGAAGAATATGGTCCATGGATCTCGCAAGAGCAGAATTTTGCCTCCAAGGGCAAGCTTTGGAATCTGCCCATCATTTGCCACACGAAGGACATGAAACGGAGATGACATGAGCTCTGTGGAGTATTTTAGCACTGGGGCATGGGAAAGGTAGATGGTGGAAGCATCTAATCTGCCTACAGATGGCTCTCATCCCTTTACAAAGTTAAGTCCCAGCTGTTTGATTTTTTTTTCTTAGCATTTTCAAATCCCAGCAAATTAATAAACCCGGGGTGGAAACCTTTAGAAGTGAAGTCACCCCACCCACCCCGTTTTTTTTCCACCTGAATTTAAGTCTCTCTTCTAGAATTAATAGAATTCAAGCTGGCCAGCAAGCAGGAAATATTGTCTAAAAGCAAGGGTCCTCAACCTTTTGGGTACCAGGGACCGGTTCCGTGGAGAGAGGTTTTTCCGTGGACCGGAGGGCGCGTGGTTTTGTGTGCTGCCTGCATCCCGTGGATGGAGCTTTGCTTGTTTGTGCGGCCCAATTGCTGGCATGCCACGGACCGGTACTGGTCTACGGACCGGGGGCTGGGGACCCCTGCTCTAAAGACTGAAAAAGAAACTAAAACTGGAACATATTTAAATCAAAAAGATCATATAAATCATTTGCTTTTGGGAATATTTTGTCTATAGCAGTGGTTCTCAACCTGTGGGTCGGGACCCCATTTGGGGTCGAATGACCATTTCACGGGGTCGCCAGACAACGCAGTCCGCCATTTTTCCCCCCTTTTCCTTAGCTGTGCTACTCCCTTTTATTCTATTGGCTTTTGAAAGCCAATAGAATAGACTCTCTTGAATAGAGTCTAATTCTATTGGCTTTCAAAAGCCAATAGGAATTGTCCAGGCTGTCTCTGCCCTGCTGAGCCCGCCAAAAGTCCCATTCTGCAAATGGTGCTGCACCAGTGGAGTAGTCCTCGACTTATGACCGGTTGAGTAGTCCTCGACTTACGACCGGTTGGGGGGGTCGCGGCATTAAAAAGGTTGAGAACCACTGGTCTATAGAGTATTCTATAGAAAGATTGCCTTTTTTTTTTTTAGGATGGTTGCACGTTCTGGGAGAGACTGTCGTGCATCTGCTACTTCTTGTTATTGGCAGTTGATGTCTGATTTTTGTTTTAACTCTGAACACAGGCAGAAAGCAGAAGTCATTAATACATTTTCCTCTTTTCTTTTTCCAGATCATCAGAAACTAGAGCGGGAAGCTCGAATTTGCCGATTATTAAAGCACCCGAATATTGGTAAGTGCCATTGCAAAACAGGCCTTCAAAGGAAATGAAACTTGCCCAAGTCTTCTCTCGTGAGAGTGGTGAGACAGAATTATGACAACCTTTTTGATTAGACGGGGTGTGTGGTGCTTAGTGCTGAAGGAACTCCTCAGAAAACCTGCTTCTGGGTATGAAGCATTTCTGTCTGTCATCTGGCTAGAGTCTAGTTCATTCTTCTCTTCCTTAGAACAAACAACATTTTTTATGGAAGATCACTAGAGAAATAAGGTGGTAATATGATTTTTATATTTCACTGTCTGATTTTTAAAGGAAGATTACTGTCTGGGTGGTGATTTGACTCAGTTGTTGTGCTAGAGAGCTGTTGATAGACCCACAGCCATTGTGCTGGAATCTGTTCTGCATTTCAAAAACCTAAGTATCTAAATGGCTGCCATTATTCCAGGATGGTATTTAAATTATTTACCCACTGGTTTTCCATTTCTCTTTTACTGTAAGAATTTGTTTGCAATTTCCAAGATCAGAGAATCAGTATTTGGTGTATTTGCTCTCCTTATCTCACCTAATTTAGCAATAGTTTCCTTCTACGTTCTGTTGAAATAAGATTTCAAAAATGTTGCACAGGACACATTGGGATCTAGTTCAGAAATAAATCTTGAAATGTCCAAAAGAATTCTCCACATACTAAGAAATGGGGCAGAATCGCCATAAACTTAAGATTGGTGTGTTTATAAAAGGAGGTAGTTGCTTACCGTCTAGATCAGCGATTCTCAATCTTCGTGTGACGGCGACCCTGTCACACGGATGCGCTGCGCATGCGCGGCGGCACCCCATGCACGCACCATGCACACCCATGTGTGGCGGCGCCCCCATGCGCGGCGCGCATGCGCGGCACCGCCCCCTGGGGGGAGAAATGGCGGATCGCATTGTTTTGCGACCCCCGTAAAATGGTCGATCGACCCCAAATGGGATCGCGACCCATAGGTTGAGAACCGCTGGTCTAGATTGCAGCTAAACACGGTCAGCTTGAACAGAAAATACCAAGGACTTTCTATGATTCTTCCTTTTATGTTCTTAACCTGATTCTGTGTCTTGCTATTTTAGCTACATCAGAATACAGCAAACAAAGGTTACACAGTCAATTGCCTGGGATAGTATGAGGATTCCTGCTCTGAGTAGGAAGTTGGACTAGAAGATCTTGAATGCCCCTTTCAACTCTCTGATACTTTTCCTCCCTGTCCTTCTGTGGTCTCTGGCATACAGGGCAGACAGTTGTCAGAGTTCTGGGAAATGTAACATACAAATGTACTTACCAATGTTTGATCCGCCAGTAGGATTGAGGACAATTTCCCAGCTTGTCTGTTTCTATCAGAAGGCAGAGGCTGCGAAAGAAAAAAAAAATCTTAAGATGGCTCAGGAATTCTGGGAATTGAAGTCCACAAGTCACAAAAGAGCCAAGGTTGCCTATCCCTGCGCTAAGGAGTTGTTGGTAGCTGTTCAATACACGGAGCTGAAGCAAAGTGTGGTAATACAAACCGTTGTCTTTGCCCATTTTTGTCCTCACTAACAGATAGCAGACCATAGAAAACGTTTATTAGAAATTAGAACTTATTTCTTACCGAAGAATTTTGGAATTAGACTGAGGACTACAAATTGCCTACTCCAATCTTAACTGCATTATTTTATAAGTCACCTCAAATTCCTTTCCAAATAAAATGTGCCGTTGCACAAGAACGTGCAAGGCTAGAAAAGAATTCCCTATTATCTGTAATTTTGCAAATATGTTGCTGACATGTACAGCTTTGCAAGCTGGACAGTCTGTTTGTCAGATTTGTTATGTCTGTTAAACATTATTCCTATCCAAGGATCTGCATTGTAAAAGGCTTACTTTAGTGAACCAATTTTGGGGCTCAGAACTATGGATATTTTAGTGCAATTCTTTTTAACAGAGACTTGCTGTTTGATATCACTTGCTTTCCCCTTAGATTATTCTTTGTTTCCATTTTCCAGTTCTTGTCCCTGAAAAATTAAAGACTGCATTCAGATCAAAATGCTTTTAAGCAAGCATCTAAGTCAGGGCTTTTCAACTTTTTCACCCATTGTACCACTTTTAGGATATGGCAGTATCCGAGTACCCTAGCAAGGTGTCAAAAACTTGATGACACCCCCCCAAAAAGGAAAAAACTGATGAAGTACAGGTAGTTCTCGTCTTACAACAGTTTGCTTAGTGACTGTTCGAAGTTACAATGGCACTGAAAAAAGTGCCCCCCAAGGCACAGCCGAGCAAGACACCTACCTGCCCGCCCAGTGGCGCTCTTCCTCCTGTCTGAGGTTTTCATTGTTGTGAGCATTTCTGTTGAGGATTGGCAGCGTGGGTGGGGTGGGGGGTGTTTGGTTTTTATTCCCCCCATCTGCTGGGTGGCTGCAGCAGGTTTTGGTTACTTCACATGACCCTCGGACATTGTGACTGTCATAAATATGAATCAGTTACCAAGCATCTGAATGTAAATCACAAGACCCTGGAGGTGCTGCAACAGTCCAGCTGATCGGCACTTCTTCTGGGCTCAGCAGAAGCACCAGGATCAGCGCCGAGCTCCAGCTGGAGCCTGGTGCTGATCCTGGTGCTTCCGCTGAGCCCTGATAGCCCTGCAGCTCCAGCCATCTCTCGCTCAGGCTTGTGCGGTGCTGCCACTGGTTCAGCTCATTCCCCTTCCCCGCTACCACTTTTCTAGGATGGTCGCGTACCACCTGCCAGGTGCCAATGTACCACAGGTGGTACCCATACCACTGGTTGAAAAGCCTTGATCTAAGTTACCAGCTTCCTAATTCTTGGACCAATAGCTTCTGAATCAGAAGAACTGGCAAAATGTATTTATTGAGATTCCTTTGTCTCATGTCAGAATACATTTCCAACTAGTTCTCTATTTCCATGCTTTTCATCCTGCGCAACAGACTTATTCTCTCTCCTGTAAAGGAACAGGGAACCGGATAATAACCTTTTGGAAGGATATAGCAAAGTACTAATGAAAACATGTAGTCACATCATAGTGATGGTTTCCATTTTCACCAAGGAAGAGGAAGAATAGGTTTGTCCCAGTGAAATCATTAACTTTGGCAAACAGCAGGAGAACGGTTGTTTATTCTTGAAAAGCTACGGCAGTGGTGGCGAACCTATGGCACGGGTGCCAGAGGCGGCACTCAGAGTCCTCTCTGTGGGCACGCACGCCGTCGCCCCAGTCCTAGGCCTTCAGCTGGGTTTTATAAAATCTTTTTGCTTTGGGCCTCCGCTGCCGTGTGCAAAAAAAAAAAGAAAAAGGTCCAATCAGTCAATTTCAACTTCTTGCGGAAAAAAAAAGATCTTCAAAGTTGGAATTGATTGATTGAACTTTTAATCCCACCCAGTCTGCCGTTACCACTGCAGCCACGCCCACCCAATGGGCCATGCCCAGCCAATGGGCCACACCCAGCCAGCACTCGACGATGCATAAGTGGGTTTTGGGTTGCAGTTTGGGCACTCGGTCTCTAAAAGGTTCGCCATCATTGAGCTATGGAATCCCCCATTCACTCTCACATCCTTCTCATTATAGTTCGCCTTCCTAATTTGTAGTTTGAACAGAAAAACAGGGCAGTCACTTAAAGCAATAGCTTTTGTTCGGCTCCTGGATCTTTACTCTTCTTCAAAACATCATCTGTTTTCCCAGTGTTCAAATACTGTACGTTGCACTGTGTTCTCTTGCCAACAGGAACTGGCCATGGAAAGCAGGTGTAGAAAATGGCAGTGACTAGTTATGTTTCCCACCCACCCTAAAGTATCAGAAATTATTTAGAGCTCAGAAGTAGAATTCCAGCAACCTGGGCAGCATTTTGGAAGGTGCTATTTCTGAGCTTTTGGAGACTCACCAAAAGTTCGGGTGCAGCTGACTGGAAAACTGCTCTTACTCATCAAAAGGGCCTTCGGTGGCAAGTAGACAATTATGCACGAGGGCCTTTGGTTTGACACATGAACCTTTCTGCATTAGACAGCTGATTTTTGCCTATTCCCAACTGCTGGACAGAGACTTATCTCGACCAGAAGGCTCTTTCTTCACATACTAAGGAGAAGGCCAGTCCAGAAATGTTTCTCTTGAGGAACTGTGCAATTGTTGGAGACTCTCCTGCTTCTTGGGGTTCCAGGATCTCTTCCAAAGAGGTGCTGGGCACATGGGATCTGCTTAATAAGTATTTTTCTGACTTTCTGGTGCAGCTGGTGAGTTGACAATGCCCTGGAGGCGTACAACAATAAGGATGCCTTGAGCAGGCTGGGCTGTGTGTCTAAAATACATACATTAAATGATGTTACCGTGCTTCGGTCTTGCCCTTAGTAAACAATGATTTGGCTTGGCTTGCCTGTTTTTCTCCCTCATTTTGATATGGAGAATTGCTGGAAATTATTTTATTTGCTTGGCCCGTTTAAAGCAACGTAGGATGAAAAGGCAACCTTATCAAGTGCAGATAGGTCATGACTAACTTATCTCATTGACTTCAGTGGGAGTGCAGTATGATGATACTCCAGGATAGATGCAACCTATAATTAAAACAAATAAAATTGGCTAAAAATAACCACAATAAGGGCTGTTTGGTATGAATTACACAAGGGTATGTGGCAAAATTAATTAGAAGCATTAACTCCCCACAAGTTGGCATTTGCTAACAGAAAAGGCAGCTCATTATCAGTCATGAAATAGAAGCAGAGATTCTGATCTTTGCACAGAAGACTATTCCAAGCTTAGTAATAGTAATAGTAGTAAAGTTGGAAGGGATCTTGGAGGTCATCTAGTCCAACCCCCTGCTCAGGCAAGAAACCCTACACCATTTCGGACAAATGGCTGTCCAGTCTCTTCTTAAAAACTTCCAGTGTTTGGAGTATTTACTGCTTCTGGAGGCAGGCTGTTTCACTGATTAATTGTTCTCACTGTAGGAAGTTTCTCCTTAGTTCAAGGTTGCTTCTCTTCTTGATTAGTTTCCATCCATTGCGT